AGGTCAGCGAAGCGGCAAAAGCTGCCTGCGAAGTTGCATGATGTTGGGACGAGGAAGTCACACAGCATTGTTGACTGTCCGCCACGGATGCATTGTCTTTAAAGTTGATTGGGCGAGTCCTGGAGACATCTTGCAAAGAAGAGGAAGAAGATGCGATTACCGTAACGAATTTTGTCTTGGCCTGAGCTTTCAGACTGAGATACCGCCCTTCTCGCAGGGATATGTTTATGCGGTTGGACTTAATTGTCTAATTGCCAGCCAGATACGCACACTTTCAGCGCCCAGTGAGATCGCAGCCTATGAAACCAGCCCAAACACGAGCACACAACCTCTCATCCTTCTGCCTCCCGGTACTGCTAAACTAGACAACTGTCCAGATATACTTCTCTAAGAGTCCGAAAGCTCTGGCTAATACAACTAACCTTTCAGTACATGTGTGTTCCTTTTCACGAAGCCATTGTATAGCGAGTCCCTTATGGCTGTTTGTGGTCTTTTATTTATATTACCTAATCCTGTACGAGTTGACTGATCGACTTGGACACTGACCTGGTGTCTGGAAGAGGAAAGAGAGTGAGGTCGACTCTGCGAAAATTCCTAATTTTAAAGAATTGAATGCGCTAACATTCGGGGCTTGCAAGTTTACTATTCGATTGTGTATAACTCGATTATCTCTTAAGGCCGCGAGTCGGTATGCCGCGCTAAGTGGGCACAGGACGGTGACTTTCGCAGCATTTATTGTACCCTTTCCCTCCTAATCCACTTTGTTTCGTGTCAGAAGCGCGCTCGGGTTCAGTTACTGCATAATTTAAACACTCGTTCTATGCTTCTCGCACAAAACCTAGTTCGCGCATGATTGAGCGAGTATCCACAGAAACAAAAAAAGGCAAGACTCAGATCCTATCTGAGTGCGAGTGCTGTATAGGCACTTGCAACCTGACTTCCCATCCTGAGAGGCGACGGAGCGAGTTACCCCCTCAGTTGCCAGTCTTCCTAGCCACGACCTTTAGCGCGTTTTACACAAACGCCCATTGGTAGCCAAAATGTCAGCCCTTGTAATAGATCCCCTGACATTTCACTCTTGTTTACTGTCCGCTACTGCCATTCACTCCCTCCTTCTTCCGCAGATTATTCGGCCAGGAGAAGGCGATGAGCGTGGTCTCCATGCCTGTGACGCCGCTGAGTCTCGACCCCAAGTACGTGTACCTGGTGGATGGGGACTCGAAACTCTACGTATGGGTGGGCTCTCAGGCGCGAATGCTCATTCAGACTCGCGGTCGCCTACTGGCTGAGAAGATTGCCCAGAAGGAGCGCCTGAACGAGGCTGAGATTATGGTGGAGCACGAGGGCAAGGAGAGCAACGAGTTCCTGGCCGTCTTGCTGGGCCTTTGGAAGCCGCCGCCGCTGCTCAATCCGAACATTGATGAGGCCGATCTGCAGTCAACTAAAGCCGCTGTCGTAGCGGGTGATGCTGATGCAGCCAAACGGGCTCTGGA